TCGGGTCCTGATCACACTGTCGGGGCTTATTTCTGCGATAACTACCGGCTGCCTGTACATTATCCCTTACATAATGTAAAATATCAAACAGATTGTTACTTTTAAAGTGCCACGTGCCATTCGTTATGCTTCTAACTCTGCATTCCCCTTTGTACCTAACCACGCTCTCACTGCTCTGAATCAGTTTACAGAGTGACCTGGTCTCCTCGTTCTCCTTCCTGTTCTGGCTTTACCTCCACAGTTCATGAGCTTCCTAACGTTGGTGGTGGTCATGATCTGTTTCGAGCGCAGGTAGTCAGCCAGCTGGCCCCCGAGGGGCACGATGATGGTCATCACCAGATGGGGGAGTGCCGACAGCATGCCCACCTGCAGGAACAAAGAAAAACATTAAAAAAATCCTGACCTCTGCTTTACTCACAAACACAGTCTGTAACTATAACACCAAGAGATGTGAAACGCCAGATATTTCCTTTGGTAAGAAGGGAAGCTCTTCATCTGTCACTGCCAAGTAACATATAAGTAAATATATTCCATCATGATGAAATATATTAACTGAATTACCATGTGACCCAGATGCTACACATACAATGTAACCTGTTTAGTTATAATGATGCTAAATTTGCATATATTGATTGAACTGTTACCATGTCGATAAGTACAGTAATAATGTATCAATGGCCATATCAATTAAGAGCTTCTCATTCATTCAGTGACTGGTTTTCACTTCCTAGTACTTCTTATATCGTTATAATAATAGCAAAACAATAAACAATGGCACATTTTAACACAAAAGGAATAACATTAGTAAGTATAAAAGCTAAGCCGTTAGCTAACAGAGTGTGAGCTCTTTAATTTTCAGTGGCAAAGTTTGCAAATTGGTCATAGAAAGTAAAATAATCCTGCTTTTAGTTAATAAAAAAACATGAACATGTTGTTGTTTTCATTACCTTACTGATCTCAAACCCAAAGACTTCCTCAAAATATGCTGGTTGACTGATGAGGAGCAAATAGAAAGTCCAGCTGCGGCAGAAATTAGCAACAATAATGGCGTACACTGGCATTGAGGTGAAGAATTTTCTCCAAGGAGTCTTGAACTTCTGCAAGGAAACAGAAGAAAGAATCATAGGTGAGATGAGGTGAATTATCTTTACAAAATCTAAAAAACACTAGGGCTTCTTGCACGTCCTGAATTTCTCAAGTTCAACGTGTTCCTGGGTCTACAAGGGGGGGCTTGTGTTACATATCTTTAACCAATCACAGTCTTCATTGTATGACTTCTCCCCATTGGTTCATTTACTTCTCACTTTCAAATTCAAGGCTTCCAGCCCTCAGGAGGGGTGTGGTGTGTGGCTCAAGGGCTAAGACTGTGTCTGTTATCATGAAGATCACCAGTTCAACCCTCGTTGTTATGATCATCATCATCATCATCATGAACGGGAACAGACATGCCTTTACACTGTTCCGTACAACCTTTGCTGGTAAGCATGTTCTTATGTTTTGTTCTATGGCATACGCAATAAAATGGATACTTTACCAATCTGTGCACCTTGCCACTTAACAGAAAACACTAGTTTTAATTAATGTGATGATGTCATACAATGGACACTGTGATTAGTTAAAGAAGTGAAACGCAAATCAGGATGTCTGGCTTCCCTTTGCCTTCAGAAGAGCTTGAATCCTTCCAGAATATTGGGCCATGCTTCAAGAAGAAAAGCCTCCTGATGTTAGAGGTGTGGAGCCAGTGGAAGTCTGTTTTACACTGTGCACTTCTGAAATTCCCATTAAGGCTAAACAGTGTTTAGATCTGGTGAATGACTTCTTGCTGCTCCTGAAACCACTGATGAATGTGTCTTGCTGTGTGTATGTCAGCATCACGATCTTGGAAAATGGCGACGTCATAAGAGAACAGTGTTTGCTTAATAGGGTGCATCTGGCCTAGTGCCATGGACTCATCTTCCTTAAACTTTATGCAATCATGCAGAGGAATCATTGGACCTGACGAGTACCATGTGATGCCTGCCTATTTCAACAGACATTATAGGTTGAAGCCACATGTTGGTTTTCTCCAAATATAACCCTGTCCAGAAATAAGATAAAGAGTGAATGATGACTCACAACATATTATGTTTCACCATTGCTCAGGGGTCCAGGTTTTGTACTCATTGTGCATTGTCCTTGGATGCAAGACATTTTCAAATGGCTACCCTGCCATAAATTCCAGATTTGTGACAATTTTTGTAAGTCTTTCGACTATGGTGCTGATTCAAGTATGTGGTCATTTTTCAGGCTGTGCTTTTGCGGTGTGTAACATCAGTCCTGCAAAAGTGTCTGTCTATTTCTGTCTATGAGCTTTTGCCACTTTTCCACTGGCACCAAGAACCGAGCCGTACCTGAGCCATACCACGAAGAGACAGTTTTCCATTGTAAATCATGTGAGTCATACCCCACCTGTACCTGTGCTGACACAGCCCTGCTTACTATCAGAGAGAAAGCGTAACTAAAGCGAGCTGGATGCGTCTCCACCATCTGATTGGTCAAAATGCAAAGAGATACTGGTGATCTGTGTCGAAAAGTATGGATTAAAGTAAAAAAGGGTATTTTTGATATATTATTCATTATTATGCCACATAATATCATAGAATTGTATTGATGCATTCCCAACAACTCGGAACTTGCAAATTTCCCCTCTGCTACTTAAAAAGTACTGGAGAACAGCTGAACGGAATGGATTCGTAATGCAAACCTACGCAAGCTAATTTAGGTAGCATTTCATGCTAATATAACATAGCGATTCTCACAGATCTGCTAGCAGAAATTAGCACATAGTAAATCATGATATACATCGTGTAAACAAGCATCTCTTCGGACACTGTCACTCTCCAAGTTTGGTAACGCCTTTACCGAGCCGGCCCTTCTGCAGTGGAAAATCGAGGTGAGCTGGAACTGTGCTGTAAGTAGTGTCTCAGTAACTAGGTTGGGTATAGCCTCACTATATACAATATTTGGTGTTTTTGAATTCTGCTAGTTGGCTCAAATTCCTTGGAAAAATTAGACATAAAAGTGCTGATTGTCAGACCTCTTCTGTAGCTGACACATCCTTCTAGTTGGCATGCAACTTAATCTAATTAATGTAACAGTTTAAAAAAAAAAGATTAATTTTAACTTAATTTTAATTGATTTATTTCAAAGTTAAAGCCGTGTGGTGGTTCCCCAGGCAGGGCCGGTCAATCAAATAGGCAACACAGACGGCTGCCTAGGGCACCAACTGCAATGAGGCGTTAACTTAGCAATTTCACTTTGTATTTTATACCTGTATTTCCTTTTCATCAGAGAAGAGCTATCTCAGCATCATAGACATCACCAAGTTTTGTGGTGGAGAGAAATGCTAACGGTGAGGCTAGCCTAGGGTGGGCCATAAGGGCTTTGAGTGGCCAGGACTCTCTGTATGCATGAATTAATTCAATTTGAAATTCATAAAATATACATGTTCTATACAGGCAACTCAACCACTGAAAAATGTTGTCTCAAAATGTAAGGGACCACATATCAGTTGGGCAGTGGGAGTTTGGGGGGGGGTCCTAAAATAAATTATAGGTGCTCTCTCCTGCTGGTCCAAAGATCAGGATAGACTTGGAGTTTTCAGGATCTGGTATTAGTCTGTTAAAATCCTCTGGTCTTTTATTTCACATTTCGCTGAGTTTAAAAAGCTTAAAATGACATATCATAGTGCAGTTCTTTTATTATGAATAATAGAAAAAGCATTTTTTTTCTGTGTTTTAATAATTGTTATTAAAACACAATCAGTTGCAATCAGTTTATTTGACAAAAACATTGTCTTAGCAGAAAAGTTTGTCTACACCCACAAAACTGGAATAGTGCTGAATTGTATTTAGACAGCAAAAACATAAGCAGTGTGACCATGTGCATGTACAACACTCACTGTAGAGAATGAACAAGATGCTTTTAGGATGGACCAAAGTACTAATTCTGGTTTCTGCATTTTTTGTGTGGTGTTGTTGTACGCTTGGTGCCCACAGAGGCTGTCCGGTTCAGCATCACTAGCTGACATCACACAGGAGTGACCCAAGGTGGAGTCTTTGTGTTGGTTTGCTAACCTTCTATATTTCTCTGCAATTTTGTGGTACTTAATTATCCTCTTTTGCATCCATTGTTTCTTGCAACATTGTCCTGTGCAATGGATTACCAATGCATATTCAGAACCAACACCATTGATTGCTACTTTTAAAACAAGATTGAAAACAGTTTTAGTCATTAGCATTTGTAAACGTAAAGTACCCGATGGTTAAAATATTATTGTTTTATTTTTATTGACTTATTTATTTGTTTGTTTTTATTTTTGTGTTTTATTGTGTTTATCGGCATTCTGTACAGGACTTTGGCTGAAAGTGGTGTCCTTAAATGTGCTTTATAAATAAAGTGATTGATTGATTCTGCATTGCAGGTGATAGATGGATTGCTTCTTTTGGTTCCTTCTGTGGTATAATTGCCAATAAATGCAATTTACACTGATGCCACCCATCTCTCATATGTGCGCCGAACACGTTGCTCTGCCTCATTTATACGCATTAGGCAGCCTGCTAATTAACAAACTGGACCAAAGGGCTATAAGCTGCTATCCAGTCTTAAGATGCTGTTAACAAAGGCCTCTAGCCTGAATTGAATATTAAAATTAAGCAAATAAATACGTGAAATATTTGTACATAAATTTACGGCATTTGGCGGACGCCCTTACTTACAAAATATGACCCAAAATACCAAATCAGTGGAAATAAATGCCTTTACTGCTTCATTATTTTACTTTTATGCCTGCCTACCTTTAATTTGTCTGATGAGGCATTGTATCCAGCGTGGACAGAGAGCCTGGGACAGGCAAAGGCTGTACCTGCAGAGGATTAACGAGTCCCGCTGACTCCCCGATGCTCTCCTCTATGTACTTCCTCTCCTCGGGCGAGATGGTGGGGTGGGCTGCCGGGCTCTCATATGACACCATCACCCAGAAGAGGTACCAACAAATCCCAAAACTGCCTGGGGGTGGGGGTGGGGGGAGAAGCAGGTAAGGTGGAGTGGTGGAATGAAGGAAAGGAGAGGGTGGAAAGGAAGTTAGCATGGTTAAAAATGTAGCAATGAGAAGGGGTAAAATGTGTGCTAAAG